CACACATGAATAACCTGGGCAATAGTGTCCATTGTTAAATCCACCCCTCGATCACGAGCCCATCTGTATGTTGAATCTCTGCCCTGATGGCCTGAAGTGTCATGGGCCCACCCGGCCAAAAAATAATTCTCCGTTATGTTGCCAGTCTAAGTCCATCTGAGCCACTTCAATCTTAGCAGCTTTATCCACTTGTTGGTTGTTCTGGTGTTCCTCACTGGCCCGACTCCTGGGTACATGAGCTTATACATGGCATGCCTTCACCACCAGGCTCTGCACCCGGGCAGCGATATCTTGCCACACTGCAGCAGCCCAGATGTGTTTCCCTCTGTGTTGCCAATTGCTCTGCTTCCATTGCTGCAACCACCCCCACAGGGCATTTGCTACCATCCATGAGTCAGTATAGAAAGTAATGGCCACCTTTCTCGTTCAGCAATGTCCAGGGCCAGCTGGATGGCTTTCACCTCGGCAAACTGACTCGATTCACCCTCTCCTTCAGCAGTTTCTGCAACTTGTCGTTGAGGACTCCGTATGGCTGCCTTCCATCTCTGATGCTTTCCCACAGTAGGGCAGGACACATCAGTAAACAAGGCATATTGCTTTTTAATTTCTGACAGTTTATTATATGGTGGGGCCTCTTCAGCACGCATCACCTCCTCCTCTGGTGGCATTCCAAAATATTTGCCCTCTGGCCATTCCATGATGACTTCCAGAATTCCTGGACTACTGGAATTTCCTATTCAAGCTCATTGTGTAATTAGTGCAGCCCACTTACTCCATGTAGCATCGGTTGCATGATGTCTAGAGGAGACCCTGCCTTTGAACATCCAGTCCAGCACGGTCAACCGGGGTGTCAGAAGGAGCTGTGCTTCAGTGCCAGTCACTTCCGAAGCAGCTCAAACCCCTTCATAGGCTGCCAGTATCTCTTTTTCTGTTGAGGTATAGCTGGCCTCAGATCCTCTGTATCCCTGATTCCAAAAGCTGAGAGGTTGACCTCGAGTCTCCCCTGGAGTTTTCTGCCAGAGGCTCCAGGTAGGACCATTCTCCCCAGCTGCGGTGTACGGTATATTTTTTACATCTGGCCCAGACTGGACTGGTCCAAGGGCTACTGCATGAACTACCTATCGTTTAATTTGTTCAAAGGCTTGTTGTTCTTCAGGGCTCCTTTTGAAATCAGTCTTCTTCCAGGTCACATGATGTAGAGAAGGTTTACAAAGAGACTGTAATTTGACATGTGCATTCTCCAAAACCCCACAACACCTAAGGAAGCTTGTGTTTCTTTCTTATTAGTTGGTGGAGACATTGCTGTTATCTTGTTGATCACCACATCTGTGGGGATCTGGAGACGTCCATCTTGCCCTTTTATTCCCCTAAATTGAATCTCCTGTGCAGGTCCCTTGACCTTACTCCATTTTATGGCAAAACCAGCATTCAGCAGGATTTGGATTATTTTCCTGCCTTTCTCAAAGACTTCTTCTGCTGTATTGCCCCACACAATAATGTCATCAATGTATTGCAGGTGTTCTGGATCAGTCCATGGCAGATGGTAGGGCTGTGTTTCCACCCCTGAGGCAATCGGTTTCAAGTGTACTGGATGCCCCTCCAAGTACTACTTGTCTGCCTTTGACTCCAGTTCATGCTGAAGTTCTAGCATGTCCGGTATGGCAGCATTCAATGGTGGTGTGACTTCATTCCGGCCACAGTAGTCTACTGTTAGTCTCCACTCTCCGTTAGACTTTTGCACTGGCCATATGGGGCTATTAAAGGGTGAGCGGATCCTTCTGATCACTCCTTGGCTCTCCAGTCTATGGATCACCTTATGGATGGGAATCAGGGAGTCTCGGTCAGTGTGATTATTGCCGCCGGTGCACTGTTGTGGTCGCGTTTGGTACTTGTCCTTTGACATTCGGCAACCCCACAACAGAAGGATCCTCTGAGAAATCAGGCAAGGTGGACAGCTGCTCAATTTCCTCAGTCTCCAAGGCAGCAATACCAAAAGCCCATTGGTACCCTTTTGGGTCTTTGAAGTACCCTCTCCTGAGGTAGTCTATGCCAAGGATGCATGGAACCTCTGGACCAGTCACAACAGGGTGCTTTTGCCACTTCCTCCCAGTCAGGCTGATTTCAGCCTCCAGTACAGTCAACTCTTGGGATCCTCCTGTCACTCCAGAAATATAGATGGGTTCCGCCCCTTGACATCTTGATGGCATAAGGGTACACTGTGCACCGGTATCTATTAGAGCCTTATACTTCTGTGCGACTTATGTGCCAGGCCATCTGATCCACACAGTCCAATAAACCTAATTGTCCCCTAGCTCCACCTGGCTGGAGGCAGGGCCCCTCTAATAGTGATCGCAATATTGGCCACTTACACCTTGTTGACAGGGATTAGTCTTTATCACAGGAGCTGGTGTAAAATCAGCTCTTCCATTCCATCTGGGAACCTGCTCACCAGAGACTTAAGCCACAGCTTTCATGGGATGATCATCCTTGACCTTTGTTCTCGTCTTCAATTCACGCACCTGTTCCTCCAGAGATGAGGTAGGTTTTCCATCCCACTTGCTCCTGTCTTCTCCATGATCCCACAGGTAAAACTATAGGGTGGCCCATGGCGTGTACCTCTATATCTTCTTTCTTAAGCAGTAGGAAGCCCAGCCAGTAACTCACAACCATGCAGCCGCTCACTCACTCCCTTGATTCTTCCCCACTGTTCCCAGCAGGATGGGGAGGAGAACCAAAGGAATGTAAATACAGTGGGCTGAGATAAGAACAGTTCAGAAACTAAAGTATCATATAAAAATACTACTACCACCACTAATAACAACAATGATAAGAGAGAGAATATAAAATTAAAAAGATAAGAAAAAAACAATAAACACAAGTAATGCCCAATAAAGTTGCTCACCGCCTGCTGACTGATACCCAGACTGACTCATGCAGCGATCTGGGCATTCCGTGTGACTCTCCCCAGTTTATATACTGGGCATGATGTGCTGTGTTATGGAATACCCCTTTGGCTAGTTTGGGTCAGGTGTCCAGTCTCTGCTTTCTCCCAGCTTCTTCTCCCCTCCTCACTGGCAGAGCATGAGAGACTGAAAAGCCCTTGATTGGGGTAAACATTACTTAGCAACAATTAAAGAAATTGGTGTGTTATCAGCAATGTTCTTAGACTAAAGCCGAAACGCAGCATTGTGCCAGCTACTAAGAAGGAGAAAAATAACTGTTAGAGCTGTAGGGTATGTTGGAGAGTCTCAGTGTAGAATTCTTTTAGTCCCCTAGGACAATCGCAGAACCATAGAATGCTTTGGGTTGAAGGGGCCTTAAAGCTCATCCAGTTCCAACCCCCTTCCATGGGCAGGGACATCTTCCACTAGACCAGATTGCTCAAGGCCCATCCAACCTGGCCTTGAACACTGCCAAACAAGTACATTTACAGAACAGAAATCCAAACGGAAAAATCTAATCTCCAAATAAGATTTTTTAGTATGGAAACCATCTTGTTCTGACGTTGCCATCTTGTACTAGCCAAAAGTGCCATATGATAAGGGTTGGTTGGTCCATGTCTGTTCCCCCCAGGCCCTCTCTTTTTTTTTTTTTTTTCCATCTGACTTGATTACTGGACTGTTAAAACTGGAATATATCTATGCTAAAGCTCCTTGTAAACAAATAGTACAGTCACCTTCACATCATCACTATGATAATATTTCCCTTTTAAGGAAGAAATAGATAATTTTAAATCTATGTTTCCTTCTATTGACATCAGTGGGAATGTTACCAGCAGGAGCAAAACATGGTAAGAGAAGTATCAGCTGTAGCTGTTACTTTAAGCCTACTTAACTTGTGGATTTTGGAATGTGAACTGATCAGTAGAGGTTCAGGATTAAAGCCACATCCTAGCTCAGTCAGCCTACGCTGGCCACAGAGTTCCACCTGCCACTGAAATACCATGTGGTGGCCAGTAACACAGACAGGGAATTAGACTTGCTGAACAAATGCACAGATCCAGGATGATAAATCCCATTGACACACAGATCTAGTCTCCAATGCCGTTAAGTCATTAAGCATGATCAAAAATGTGAAAAATCATAAACCCGTCATCATAAGCCTAATTTTTTCTTTGCAGAAAGGAAAATAACTGGATTGTTTGGACAAATCACCAAAACTCATGGAACAATCATTGCCATCACATCAGGGATAGTTTTAGTACTTCTCATCATTTCAATTCTAGACTTGGTAATCCCCAGATAAACAAAAGGAAAATTAAGTATGTTTATTTCATAGAATCATAGAATAATAAAATAGTTAAGGTTGGAAAGGACCTTAAGATGATCTAATTCCAACCCCCTGGCCATGGGCAGGGATACCACACACTAAAGCATGTTCCCCAAGACTCTGTCCAACCAGGCTTAGAACACAGGCAGGGATGGAGCATTCACATCTTCCCTGGGCAACCCATTCCAGTTCCTCTCCACCCTTACCCCTGATTTTCTTACTTTTATTTTTGTACTAAGGTCATAAGGACCTAAAACTAAGCCAGCTAGAGCGATTTATCTTACAGAAGGATTCTCATTATGTTCTTTGGGCGTATTCTGACTAGTTTTTGTGAAACATTTACCGGAGTTACTTTCTATTGCTAATGTTACAAAGCCATCAAACAATGTTATTTAGAACTGATTTTAGTTAAAGAAGGGTAAATTTTTCAGTGAAAATTGGTAATTAAATTCAGAATGTAATGTAGGAACAACATACCGAATAGCGATTTTTGGTGTTTTGCTGGAAACCTGTGCTGTCAGTATAGAATTACCTCATTCAGATAAGGTCAATCTTTGTGGAATAATGTTATCTAAAAAAAATAAAAAATCTGTCTCTGTACCCTGCAATTGATTCAGTAAACAATTTTTATTGTGATATAATAATAGACATAATCTTCAGATTATACTAAACCTTGAAGTGAATCTTAAACACTGATAGCCCGTGTGATTCATTACTTCTTTCTATTACAGATCCTGACTCTACTTACCTAGGAGGTATTTTAAATCCCATACCAGGTCTAGTATTACAGTAACAATTTCTTTATACATTAAATTTAAAATTAATATCATATTGAATTTGACAGCAAGGTATATCTTCTCCCTAGACTGCCAGTTTGAACTCTCAGGAGCTGATGGAATAGTACATTCCAGTCAAGTACAACAAGAAGGAAAAACAAAGCCAGGGCAACCAGTTGACTGCATATGGACAATTAAAGCTACTCCGAATGCTAAGGTGAGTTTCATTCATATCATTCAACATATAATGGGTTTCTAAGTCATTAGTAACAGGTAATAGTCACTAGCTGTGATTTACATAATGTCTCTCTTTCAGTGAGATGAGTGAGTTACCAGTGGCTTAGGAAATCCAGATTGTTCCTGAAATTAAATTTATAGAGCAAGTCCACAGTCTTGACTTCCTATTATTTGAAACTTAAAATTCAAAATAACTGTGAACACTGTTCAAGCAACAGTTTTCAAGGGCATTTGACTTGGACTCTGGTTTTATTGGAAGACCGCAGGCAAAGATGCTAGCTAACAGCTTTGATAAGTTCCCTTAAATCTTGCTGCCACATCTTAAAATTTTGCCTCCGGTGGTTCTATTGGAAAATTTGGTTCTGTTCAGTGTCAAAAGAACATGTACCTGCTCCTCCTCAGTGTAATTCACAATCCAGCACCTTAAACCCCACTTTCATCAGTAGCCTGAGCTAAAATGAAAGGCTTTGCCTGGAAGCAGCTAAGGAATTGTCACTCTTCTTCTGACTTGGCTATAGCATCACGCCCTCTTAAAGTGCCACAATAAAATTTGCTAGAGCTTTTCTGCCCAAGCCCTAAAGGGGCATAGTAACTGTTCAAGCCAAAAATCAGCATATGTTACCTGGGTACCTGGTATTTGTGATTGTGCCTGCAGATCTAGAGACTGCTTATGAAATCATCACTATCTTATGCTCATTAAAACAACTTGAGCTTTATTGTTGGTCAGAGAGAAGTATAAAATTCTATTCATAATTCCAAAATACAATATCTATAGCCTGTTCAACAAAACCCGACAGCTATATGTTTCAGACATAGAATGGTTAATAATTTGAGTTGCACTGAAGAGTACATATTTTTTTCTTCCATATAGTATACACATCTTTCATTTTGCTCCTGTATGTGTGTTAAAGCGCATATCACTGCTTGCATGTACACAAGAATTAAAAAAAATATTTCTAAGCAGTAGCTGCCAAGATGACAAGCCTACTCTATGCCTTCTTACATACCCTTAATGGTTAACTAACCAGCCCTGTTACCACAAAAGACAGACGAATAAACTCTCTAAGGCTCGATTTGGAGTTTTAGAAAACAGGAATTCCTTATTGCAGCGCTGGTGCACACACACGTCATTTTGCAAAGGTGAGCGTGCCTGGAGTCTATAAGCAGCATCCATATATCCAACAAACTTATGCATATTTACAACCTTTCTGGGAAATGCTTTACATATTCACTAGATTTCCTGGAGCTAATTGTAATATTTGCATTTTAATTACGCATGCTCTTCCTTGCTGAGTGGTGGTTTTGAGGGGTCTCTGGTGGTTGCTGACAGTCTTCCTCCCTGTGTCTGCTGATTGACCTGTGTGCTTGTGCAGGTGCAAAAGACTTGTGGATTATTTAAAAACTCTCTGTGGTTTAGGTCAGTTTGTTCTTATTTGTTCCTTATCTTGAAGAACTGGCCCTATATGTCTTGGTTACTCCTTTCTTATCTTCAAAGGCTGCCCTTTTTTTATACATACCCCAAGGCCGTACTGGCCTATCTTGCTCTTAACAGAGTGGTTTTAATTTACAACTTAACATTTTAGCTTACAGGCCTATGAACCAACTTCCAAATTAAAAGTTCAAAACCAGCAACCTAAAAGATAGTAGTAAGAGGAGAAGACGAGAAAGAAACTAAAACTTCGTTAATATATTTGAGCATTTGAGGAAGTGACTCAACTCATGGAGCCCTATACTAAGTAATAGTAGCAGTTCTTCCGGAAACTGATTTGTAGTACTCGCTAAGAACTTGCCAACAAAGTTTAAGTTGACAAGCAGGTATTCTTTATTGCAGCACTGGGAGACACGGGGGATAGCCCTTCCTAGCTTGTCTCAGCCAAACCTCAAACAGACTGTGGTTATATTGTTGCTTGTCATACATATTCATTTAACTGAGAACCGCTTTACGTAATTCCACACCCATTTCCGCATGCGCACAACAATGTGGTAGTGGTCTTTGGGGGTCACTTACTTCTTCCAACAATCTTCATCACTTTCTGGCAATCTCTGAAGAATGTGCAGTAGATAATGCTTACACCAGCTTAACTGGTTCAGTAACACTGCAGGCATAATCATCTCGTCCTTCGGTTAGCTTAGCCACAGCACATCCTAGACATCTGCTAGCTTCAGATACTCTTTATCTACATGTCCTGTTTTTCTGTCCTGTTTTTCTTACAATTATTTTTGCACTAAGGTCATAAGGACCTAAAACTACGCCAACTACAACGATTTATCTTATACAAGGATTCTCATGTTCTTTGGGTGAATTCTGACTAGTTTTTGTGAAACATTTACCTGAGTTACTTTCTATTGCTAATGTTACAAAGCCATCAAACAATGTTATTTAGAACTGATTTTACTTATTTACAAAAGATTTTGTACTTCCTTGTCTCAAAACAATAATAAAACAATTTCGTCCCCACATTGCCTTTTGAGTGCATCAGGCCATATGCTTAAGCACTTCAATAAATTATTGAATGTTGGCAGAAGGCAGAGTTATGGTTGGGTCAGCCCTGAGATTAGATCATCACCCTAAATTATAGAGTTAAAACATTACAGAAAAATAATTCTTACTATTAAAGAATCATAGAATAGTAAGGGTTGGAAAGGACCTTAAGATCATCAAGTTCCAACCCCCCTGCCATGGGCAGGGACACCTCACACTAAACCATATCACCCAAGGCCTTGTACAACCTGGTCTTGAACACTGCCAAGAATGGAGCATTCACAACCTCCCTGGGCAACCCATTCCAGTGCCTCACCACCCTAACAGGAAAGAATTTCCTCCTTATATCCAATCTAAACTTCCCCTGTTTAAGTTTGAACCCTTTATCCCTTGTGCTATCGCTACAGTCCCTAATGAAGAGTCCCTCCCCAGCATCCCTATAGGACCCCTTCAGATACTGGAAGGCTGCTATGAGGTCTCCACACAGCCTTCTCTTCTCCAGGCTGAACAGCCCCAACATTCTCAGCCTATCTTCATACGGGAGGAGCTCCAGTCCCCTGATCATACTCGTGGCCCTTCTCTGGACTTGTTCCAACAGTTCCATGTCCTTTTTATGTTGAGGACACCAGAACTGCACACAATACTCCAGGTGAGGTCTCACAAGAGCAGAGTAAAGGGGCAGGATCAACTCCTTCGACCTGCTGGTCACACTCCTTTTGATGCAGCCCAGGATACGGTTGGCTTTCAGGGCTGCGAGCGCACACTGCCGGCTCATGTTCATTTTCTCATCAACCAACACCCCCAAGTCCTTCTCCACAGGGCTGCTCTGAATCTCTTCTCTGCCCAACCTGTAGCTGTGCCTGGGATTGCTCCGACCCAGGTGTAGGACCTTGCACTTGACATGGTTAAAATTCATGAGGTTGGCATCAGCCCACCTCACAAGCGTGTCAAGGTCCCTCTGGATGGCATTCCCTCCCTCCAGCTGTGAACCACACAGCTTGGTGTCATCGGCAAATTTGCTGAGGGCGCACTCAATCCCACTGTCCATGTCAGCGACGAAGATGTTAAAGAAGACCGGTCCCAACACCGATCCCTGAGGGACACCACTCGTTACTGGTTTCCAGCTGGACATTGAGGCATTGACCACAACTCTTTGTATGCGGCCATCCAGCCAGATCTGTATCCATCGAGTGGTCTATCCATCAAATTGATGTCCCTCCAAGTTAAAGACAAGGATGTTATGTGGGACAGTGTCGAACGCTTTACACAAGTCCCGGCAGATGACATCAAGTGCTCTACCCCTGTCCATCAGTTCCGCAGCCCCATCACAGAAGGTCACCAAATTGGTCAGGCAGGATTTCCCCTTAGTGAAGCCATGCTGGCTGTCACCAAGCACCTTGTTGTTTTTCATGTGCCTTAGCATGCCTTCCAGGAGAATCTGCTCCAAGATTTTGCCAGGCACAGAGGTGAGACTGACTGGTCTGTAATTCCCTGGGTCATCCATTTTCCCCTTCTTGAAAATGGGGGTTATATTTCCCTTTTTCCAGTCGTCGGGAACTTCACCTGACTGCCATGATTTCTCAAATATGATGGCCAGTGGCTTAGCAATTTCATTCACCAGCTCCTTCAGGACCCGCAGATGGATTTCATCAGGACCCATGGACTTGTGCACATTCAGATTTTTAAGATGGTCTCGAACCAGTTCCTCTCCTACAGTGGACCCAAGGTCTTCGTTCTCACTGTCCCTGCGTCTGCCTTCCAAGACTTGGGTGGTGTGGTCAGAGCCTTTGCCAGTGAAGACGGAGGCAAAGAAGTCATTCAGAACCTCAGCCTTCTCCAAATCCTCTGTAGCTAGTTCTCCCGAGAACTTCCTGAGGGGGCCTACGTTCTCCCTTGTCTGTTTTTTATTTGCTACGTACCTGTAGAATACCTTCCTGTTATCCTTAATATCCCTAGCCAAGTTTAATTCTAACTGGGCCTTAGCTTTCCTAACCTGGTCCCTAGCTTCCCGGACAACATCCCTGTACTCTTCCCAGGCCGCCTGTCCTTGCTTCCACTTATTATAAGCCTCTTTCTTCATTTGAATTTTCCTCAGCAGCTCCTTATCCATCCAAGGAGGTCTCCTGGCCCTCCTGCTGCGCTTCCTTCTAGTTGGGATGCAACACTCCTGAGCTTGTAGCAGGTGATCCTTGAATATCAACCGAGAGTCTTTGGCCCCCCTGCCCTCTAGGCCTATATCCCATGGAACCTTGCTAAGCAGGTTTCTGAATAGGCCAAAGTCTGCTCTTTTGAAGTCCAAGGCAGTGAGCTTGCTGCACGCTCTTCTCACTGTTCTGAGGATCTCAAATTCAACCATCTCGTGATCGCTGCATCCAAGGCTTCCCTGGAGTGTCAGATTTCCAATGAGCCCTTCCCTGTTGGTGAGCACGAGATTCCAAGAGTAGTTTCTCAAGCTTCAATTCTGGCAGAATTGTGATGATAAAATCTATTAGATCTGATATGGTGCAATCTCTTGAGAAAAATAAGCATAGACATTTTTAATTTCCTCAATTAGATTCTGTCACAAAAGTAATTTTTTAAAACTGATACAACTGCAGCAATGAAAGAACTTTTAAAATCTGTGTAACAGATATTTACACATACAGAGAATAGTTCTACTAAAAGCATCCTCGTTTATTTTTAGCTTCCCTTGTAATTTCACAGCAGATACATAAAGCCAAACATTAAATGCAAATACCATCTCTCAGCCCATATACTAGCATTTAACAGCTCACACCCATGTTTGTGAGATAAGACATCAGTGGAAGACAGGTTCTCAATATAGCTGAGAACAAAGACAGCAGAAGTAGAAAAAAGGGAATAAAAAAATGGATACTGAAAATCACACAATAGTGAGATGAAGCATGAGATCGTATGGCACAGGCTGCACCTTTTCATAGTGTGCAAGGGGAGACAGAACTGGCAACCTGCCTCTGGAAAACACTGGAAAGGAAAAGCCAGGGTGTTTTGCCTGCCTTTTCCTGTGCTCACTCTTTTGCCATGCTTTCAGTAGAGCTTGTTAAGTGTTTGTAAATCTTTTTTTCCCCCAAAGTTGGTTGGTTTTGGTTTAATGAATTCTTTACAATTCAGTTTTAAAAGGCTTTGGCTGTAGCTGAGGTTAAAAGAAAGATGATATGGGAAAAGGACAGAAAAATAGGTAATACAACAGTAGTAAGCGTGGTATTCATCTATGCTTGTCTCCCCTGCTTCACAAATTAAACAAGAGCTGGAGATGTTTGTCATTAGTCAGATGCATGAAAAATTATACTGCGCAAAAGGTCCTTAGCATCTGTAATAGCAGCCTGAGATGTAGCTGTAGGCTGTACTCACTCAAAACACATCAAGTCTAGACTCAAGCTTATCTGAGGAACATACTGAAGACCTTGTGGGTAGAAGGCGCATCTCCTCTCACACAGAGCAGGAGACCTCTGTCTTCACATGGATAGATTTCTTCTCTGTCAAAATAATGGCTATCTGAGGAATTTTTAAAGTTTAAGGATAGCCTTTGCAGCATGCCTAGGTAACTGAGTTTGAGTTACACAGTTCATCAACTTCCCCTAGAATTTTAAGAATCCCAATACAACCATTCAAGAGATGAAAAAGGCCTGTGATCTTTTCACGTAATCTTGCAGAAGTTTCCTGCTCTGGCAAAATAAATTGTTTGTTTATTTTCCAAGTGCCATGTTGGTCTTCCAATTTCTTTGCTGCGTACGTTCTAACACATATGCTGCCTTCTCTTGGATTAGATTCCTGCTTTTGGAGGAATTAAGATTGGCTTAATTTATTAACTCTTCCTAGAAAGCCAGTTTACTTTTCTTCTGCTTCCATTTTTATTCAAATTACTCCTGACTTTCATGGCTTGTGTCTTCCATAACAATGCTACAATTCAGTAATTAGCTTTCATTCTGAAGCAATAAATTTCAATTTCCTTATTTTTACTTCAGAGCTTTCCTGACTAGACTCCTTCCCTTATATTTTAACACTGCTGTTAGGAATTAAAAAGAAAGAAAAGAGAACAGTCAAAATACCATTAACATTCTTTCAGCACATTTATGTGTTTCTCATATCTCTTCTAGAGTAATAGGTTGCACATGTAGCAGAGCTGCTTAGGGCTTTCTTCAGCAAGTATGTTGCTTTACCTTTTTTTTTTTTTACCTTTTTTTTTTCTTCCCCCCCCCCCCCAAGGGGAGTAGAAACATGAGAGTAAATTATTAAGTAAAGATTGTTTTGGGGAAGGGGCCAAAGCAAAACAGACACTTAAGACAAACTTTAAGTAATACTCCACATTTACATTTCATGAGAAAATGTAAGTTTAAAAGTGCTGTGCATTGAGAGTTACACATGTGTAACGGGACAAAACATCTCCGAGATTTGCTAAGAAATACTGTCTTCTCTGTATTACTTTTCCTAGAGACATTAATTTCTCTTTTCTAACAGATTTATGTACGATTTCTCGACTATCAAATGGAGCATTCAAATGAATGCAAAAGAAACTTTGTTGCTGTGTATGATGGAAGTAGTTCTATTGAAAACCTGAAGGCAAAGTTCTGCAGTACGGTAGCAAACGATGTCATGCTGCAGACTGGGATGGGTGTGGTGCGGATGTGGGCAGACGAAGGCAGTAGGCTAAGCAGATTCAGAATGCTGTTCACTTCATTTGTGGATCGTAAGTAGATTTTAAACTGCCTATTCTCCTGGGATCAGGGTACTTTTTCAGGTATATTTTAGGAAAAGCATCAGCTATATATTATGCAGCAGGAACACATGAAAAAGGTTGTTTCCATTTCCTTCATGTACTGGCATCTAAATTAAATACTTGCTTTATTACAGTTATAAGCATGGTTCCTGAAGAAAGGCTTTCCTCCAGTCTTAAAAGGTTTATTTTTCATTTGAATTCAGTAATAATACAGCCCTAAGCTATGTCATTCTCACAAAGATTTCTACAGATGAGCACAGGCTTACTTAAAGAAGACAGCAGTGGGACTGAAGTGTGCTCTCCCATTAGCCTTCATCTTCCAGTTCTCTGCCAGATACCACAACAGGCTCTTCTCAAGCCCATACTGGATGTTCAGAAGGCTAGAGAACACGTGTGACCCTGCAGAGTCTGGATCTGGAAGTACACCCACTCCAGCTATACCTAAGCTGCTACCTCCTTCTCAGCTGCACATGGCTTGGAGCGATCCCACACGTGCTCCCTTAGGAAAGTCCAGTTGTGTTGCACAACTGTGGATAAGCAGTTAAATTCAAATTTATTTAAGAAGGCTATATTAAAAGCAGAGCTGTAAATGCAAACTGGATTTCTGTTTGTATCTCATAGCCCAGGGTGGAGATAGTCTTTATTCCCATTGTAAATGAAGACGTTTCCTGAAAGTGAGATTTTCTTTGAAGTGCTTTCTCTCTGAATTTACTGGAATTTTGTTGCCTCACATATTTATAAAGGACAACATTGTCCACATTGCAGAACCTGAAAATAAGTAGCATCTTCAGGACTAAAGTAGACTAAGTTCAGAACTGCAGAGAAGATCTGCGATACACGGGGAGAGCTGAATAAAGCATATCTGCCACTTCAGGAAATCAAACCTATGCTTGTGTCAAAGGTTTTCAAAAGACTCACTCTGCTTGAAGAATAAGTAGTACAAATTTGCTGTCAAAGAAATACCTTTCTCGACAGAACATGTCTGTAGCCAGTCCTGAAAGGGATCCTGGTCACCACCTTACAAAAAAGTTTAGGTTACAGATAAGAAGTGGATTTTATATTCTGTTCCATAAAACAGTAATTTTTTAACACAGGTGAAAAGTTACTTTCTGTAAAACAATCTTTCTAAAAAGACTGACAGAGACTTAAGAGAAATATCTTATTGCTTACTTTGCCTACATGGTAAAATAATGATTATTGCCTAGATGTAAAATAAACAATTGCATGGGTCAAACTAGTCTATTGTTTAAGCTACAAGAGGCATTTAGTAAAAGTTACATATTGTGCTTAAAACTGGTATTTACTGCAATTCACAACTTGCAAAAATTGAGAACTGCTTTTCCAGTAGCATTTATTTCAATGCAATTATTGATATTAGTGGTAGTGCAAGTTATTCCAGCTTCCAATCTAGAAAATGCTATGAATTTTGCCAGGGAAATTATCTGTTTATATTACAAATACTGGAGTGGGGTTGGGTTTTTCTTCTGTTGCGTTTGGGTTTTGGGGGGTCTTTTTGTGGTGTTTTTTTGAGTGCAAGAGGTTGAAACAGTAACTAATCCTAAAGTTAGATAACTTTGTTAACTTACAATTTTAAAGCAACTCAAAAGTCATTGGCAGAAGAAAACCTGAAAAGGTATGTGGTTATTATTATCTATGTTCTAACTTCAAATAGCATCTTTATTGGATAGGGCAATTGAAAGGTATGTGTCTGAAAAATGTTTCATGTATTTTTAAATCATAGAATCAGAATCATAGAATAGTTAGGGTTGGAAAGGACCTTAAGATCATCTAGTTCCAACCCCCCTGCCATGGGCAGGGACACCTCACACTAAACCATGTCACCCAAGGCTCTGTTCAACCTGGCCTTGAACACCGCCAGGGATGGAGCATTCACAACTTCCCTGGGCAACCCATTCCAGTGCCTCACCACCCTAACAGTAAAAAACTTCTTCCTTATATCCAGTCTAAACTTCCCTCTGTTTAAGTTTGAACCCATTACCCCTTGTCCTATCACTACAGTCCCTAATGAAGAGTCCCTCCCCAGCATCCTTATAGGCCCCCTTCAGATACTGGAAGGCTGCTATGAGGTCTCCACTCAGCCTTTTTTACTCCAGGCTGAACAACCCCAACTTTCTCAGCCTGTCTTCATACGGGAAGTGCTCCAGTCCCCTGATCATCCTCGTGGACCTCCTCTGGACTTGTTCCAACAGTTCCATGTCCTTTTTATGTTGAGGACACCAGAACTGTACACAATACTCCAAGTGAGGTCTCACGAGAGCAGAGTAGAGGGTCAGGATCAAAGGAAGCTCCTACCAGAAGTGGGGTAAGCAATTTTTCTAACTGAAAAAAAAAAAAAGTGAATCCTTGCTTATCTTATTTTCAGATCATGAGGCTATTTTTGTCTTCTACCTTACTAATGATTTGTAATTATATGAAGCCAACCATGAAAATGATCAGTATTTCTGAAAAAAATTGCATAAAAGTACTAATTGTGCATGACAGTCACCTAACACATGCCTAGAGCTTTTTGCAGAATCGACTTATGTTAAAAATCAATGTATTTGATTTCTGGCTTGGTTCAGTACATGAATAATGCTAGATACAAAGAACACTGAACATTGCACCAGCTGTTATGAGAAGAGTCCAGCTTGGGTGACATAGCCTAGTGTGAGATGTCCCTGCCCATGGCAGGGGGGTTGGAACTAGATGATCTTAAGGTCCTTTCCAACCCTAACTATTCTATGATTCTATGATTCTATGTCCTTGAAGCCCTGGAGTGGCTTCAATCATTGTGACACAATCAATCATTGTGACTTTTAGACTTGGTAATCCCCAGATAAACAAAAGGAAAATTAAGTCTATTTGTCCCATCTTTATAAACTTGTGAACAAAAGCCATCCCCAAAATACGGTAAGGAGACTTCACAGAAATGTAAAATAGAGACTGTACTGGCAGATGGAGAAGCAGCAACAGAATGCATCATCCAAATATACAGAAAGATGAAACAAATTCCCCTGTTCAGGGGAAATAAAGGGAATGTGTCTTACATCGTAACTCTTCCTCTGTGCCTCCAAAAGAACTACAACTCCATACAGATCCATACTGGAACACCAACAGATACACATGGATCCATGATAACCACTCTGGACACAAATTTCATAGTCCGTCCTTTATGTCAGAAATACTTCAGTAGGTATTGTAGCCTTTTACATACATAGCCTTTTTAAGCTATTCTGTTTAAATGACAATCCTATTTACCCTTTATAAAGTAAAGCTTGTGCAGTCTTTCTTTCCAAATTCAAAAGGAGAACCTGCCTACTCCCTTTTTCTGTCACAGACTCTGAAGCCTCACAGGAGAAGTGAGAAATTCTGTATTCAGGACTAGTCACCCTCCTCTGCCGTACCCTTTGGGTTTTGTATTGTGCTTCAGAGAATCCAGACTGCTCAAGAGAAAATTCCTTCTATGAAACCAAAGAGTAGAACATCTACCATACATCTTTGCTGTTTAATGTATAACTGACTCCACTGATAATAGACATTTCTATCAGAAAAATGCCACATTAATGAGACAAGGAGAAAATAATTTTCTTGTCCGGTGCTCTGAATCCATAAAGAATTCCCTATGAATATTACAGAACATACTGAAAAGAATTACTAATATTTTTTAGCATATTTTTTTTAATGTCAAGGAGCTATACCAAACATTCACAGAAACAAAATCTTTAGGGCAACTTTCTACTTCATTTATTTCTTCAAATTTCTAAATATATATAGACAGATAAAAAGCTAAACTGTACTCTCTCAATCCCTGCATTAGATCTAATAGGAGGATCTAGGAGCTTTGATTCACAAGCAAGAATGACTTAGATGCCTCCAGTTTCTGAAATCTCTTACAATTACTGAAACAGTCCTCCAGAAGCTGAAATCTGATTTGCCTTGAGATATTAATGGGCTCTACAATGCGTATGTTCAGGAACTGCTTCACAACATCTACATAGCAGATGCACAGCAGACTGAACAAATATAAACTGATTTTGAGCATACAATTTTTACGTATTTAAAGCCAAGTATTTTAAAACCAAGTATTAAAGCATTATTTTAAAGGCAAGTATTAAAGCCTTCTTCCATTATCTGTGTTGTGACTGTCTCTATCTGCTGCCCATTTTGAGAGAGAATTTTTTTGTAGCATTGGTAATGCCCTTGTCAGAAACCATATAAAGGGAGTAAATCATCCAGTAATTAGTGATGTGCAAGAAAAGTGCTTGTGTTTGAAATGGAGATAAAGAATTAGTATGCATGTTAAAAAAAAAAAAAAAAAAGCAAACAAAAAAAAACACCAACAAACACCCTGCCCCCCCCCCCCCCCCCGAAATTTACTAATTTTATTGCAGTGCATCAATTACTGAAAATTCCTAATGTTTTCTTTCTCTTCTCTCCTGCAGCTCCCTGCTCAGGCAACACTTACTTCTGCCATAGCAACATGTGCATCAATACTTCTTTAGTGTGCAATGGCATTCAGAACTGTGCATACCCTTGGGATGAAAATCACTGCAGAGGTGAATATTATACAAAGTATAGCCTTTGTGAGCTAGGCTGGTCAATTTGCCTTTCAAGAAAGTCATGAAATGTATTCTTCCTGGAAATATGAAATATTCCGGGGTTGGACTCATTTCAGCGGGTGGTATCATATTCTCTTCCCTTGTTATTTTCTCTTATAATTACTATTATTAATGGTAGCAGCAGTGATTTGTGTTATACCTTAGTTACTGGACTGTTCTTATCTCAACCCTTGGGAGTTACATTCTTTCGATTCTCCACCCCATCCCTCCGGGAGTGGGGGGGGCGTGGTGGTGAAGGAAAGAAAGAGGGAGGAAGGGAGGGAGTGAGTGAACGAGCTGTGTGTCTGGGTTTAAACCACGACAGGAGTACTCGGAGGATAAAGAACTGGCTGGATGGCCGCATGCAAAGAGTTATGGTCAATGGCTCAATGTCCAGCTGGAGACCAGTAACGAGTGGTTTCCCTCAGGATTGGTATTGGGTCTTGTTCAACATCTTTGTCGGTGACATGGAGATTGGGATTGAGTGCGCCCTCAGCAAGTTTGCCGATGACACCAAGCTGTGTGGTTCGGTTGATACCCTGGAGGGAAGAAATGCCATCCAGAGGGACCTTGACTCGTTTGTGAGGTGGGCCGATGCCAACCTTATGGATTTTAACAAAGCCAAGTGCAAGGTCCTACACCTGGGTCAAAGCAGTCCCAGACACAGCTACAGATTGGGTGGAGAAGAGATTCAGAGCAACCCTGCAGAGAAGGACTTGGGGGTGTTGGTCGATGAGAAACTTAACATGAGCCGGCAGTGTGCACTCGCAGCCTAGAAAGCCAACTGTATCCTGGGCTGCATCAAATAGGAGTTTGACCAGCAGGTCAAAGCAGGTGATCCTGCCCTTCCACTCTGCTCTCGTGAGACCTCACTAGGAGTACTGTGTACAGTTCAGCTGGGTTCTGCTGTAGCAGTCATTTTTCTCCTTCTTAGTAGCTGGTGCAGTGCTGTGTTTTTGACTTTCAGCCTGGGAACAATGCTGGTAACACCAATGTTTTTAGTTGTTGCTAAGTAATGTTTACTCCGACCAAGGACTTTCTCAGTCTCATGCTCTGCCTGTGAGGAAGGGCACAGTAAGCCAGGAGGAAGCAGAGACAGGACACTTGACCCCAAGTAGCCAAAGGGGTATTCCATACCACAGCACTTCATGCCCACTATATAAATTGGGGGGAGTTACCTAGAAGGCCCAGATCACTGCTTGGGTCGGCAGAGTATCGGTTGGTGGGTGGTGAGAAATTGCATTGTGCATCATTTGTGTTTATTGTTTTTGTTGTCTTTTCTTTTTCCCTTTTAGTTTTATATTCTTTCCCTTTCTTATTTCTCTTATCATCATTATTATTGGTGGTAGTGGTAGTGGTAGTAGTGGTTTTGTATTATGCCTTAGTTGCCGGACTATTCTTATCTCAACCCGTGGGAGTTATTTACATTCTTTCGATTCTCCTCCCCATCCCTCTTGGAGCACTGGGGAGAAAGGGGAGGAGTGAGTGAGTGGCTGCGTGGTTCTGAGTTACCGGCTGGGCTTAAACCGTGACAGAATACTATTGTAAAAGTCTGCATCTAGACTAACATGGGTACTTACTTTTGTTTTAACCAGAAGCTGCAAAATTACATATGTTCAAATGTACTAAAATTTATGTGACTTGGAATTTTAAAAGGCAGTAATCCTTTTCACTTATTTCTCAGAAAACATAGAGTGAGGAACTGATCATTGAAGGCAATATAAATAGTAGGCAAGATTAAACAGATGGCTGTAACATAATTCTCGAGTCTCAACTGGCATTTAGCACTACTTTCAATTTGACAAATAAAATAAGACTCATATGTTGACATACATGCGGTGCACTTTTATTTATGTAACTAACTGAGGTATTAAAATTGTCTTGAAATGCAGGCATCTAAAGAAGAGAAAATGATATGAGTAAGAGAATAGTATCATTGGTTTCGGTCTTAAGTGATTAGTAGCTGTTTTTTTCTTCCAATATCCTTTACTTATAATATTCATGCAAAGTCTCTGTCTTACTCCTCCACTAGGTAGGTAGCTTGGGAAGATGGGAGGAAATCCACCATTTCTCAGCAAGAATTAGTTAGGCAGACTTTTTTTTTAAATGAAGTATAACAAGCTAAAAGTGTGTGCATCTCACGCTGCATATAATACACTTTGAATATATTCAGGCATTATACACAAGCATCTTGTATAGACACTGATACCACCTTCACTAGGAAATCAAAAGTCAATAGATAATGAACCTTGTGTCATATCTTCTCTTCTTCGAACATAAATTTCACACGGAATCTCCTCCATCACCCTGTCTTCTATGACTTGTTCAGGGCAGTCATGCACTTGTTTGAAAGTGTAACTATTCCTGAATGTGCTGTTAAATGTTTTCATTGGCTGAGGCTGTGCAAAGTCATTGCAGAAGGGAAGTTCCATGGAGCTGAGGTTTGTCCTGCTTTGTTTGGCATTAGAGGCCTGGGAACCACAGTGGTGGTCACGAATGCATCTGGAAGCTGTTGAAGGGCGTCTCATTTTCTGGTAGTTTTCAAGTTCCTCTGATAAATCTTCCAGATCTGCAGAAATTTCTTTGTCCCTTAATGAAAATAGTCCATAATGTGGAGGATCAAATACTTCCTGGAAGCCAGCTTTATTGAAAGAAGTCTTGCAAGCCATAAGCTTTTTGCGAGGTTGCTTTACTTGTACTAGAATTGAAATGATGAGAAGTACTAAAACTATCCCTGATGTGATGGCAATGATTGTTCCATGAGTTTTGGTGATTTGTTCAAACAATCCAGTTATTTTCTTTTCTGCAAAGAAAAAATTAGGCTTATGATGACGGGTTTATGATTTTTCACATTTTTGATCATGCTTAATGACTTAATGGCATTGGAGACTAGATCTGTGTGTCAATGGGATTTATCATCCTGGATCTGTGCATTTGTTCAGCAAGTCTAATTCCCTGTCTGTTACTGGCCACCACATGGTATTTCAGTGGCAGGTGGAACTCTGTGGCCAGCGTAGGCTGACTGAGCTAGGATGTGGCTTTAATCCTGAACCTCTACTGATCAGTTCACATTCCAAAATCCACAAGTTAAGTAGGCTTAAAGTAACAGCTACAGCTGATACTTCTCTTATCATGTTTTGCTCCTGCTGGTAACATTCCCATTGATGTCAATAGAAGGAAACATAGATTTAAAATTATCTATTTCTTCCTTAAAAGGGAAATATTATCATAGTGATGATGTGAAGGTGACTGTACTATTTGTTTACAAGGAGCTTTAACATAGATATATTCCAGTTTTAACAGTCCAGTAATCAAGTCAGATGGAAAAAAAAAAAAAAAGAGGGCCTGGGGGGAACAGACATGGACCAACCAACCCTTATCATATGGCACTTTTGGCTAGTACTTCATATGAACACAAGATGGCAGCACCAGCACAAGATGGTTTCCATACTAAAAATTCTTATTTGGAGATTAAGTTTTTCCGTTTGGATTTCTTTTCTGTAAATGTACTTGTCTGGCAGTGTTCAAGGCCAGGTTGGACGGGCCTTGAGCAGTCTGGTCTAGTGGAAGATGTCCCTGCCCCATGAAAGGGGGTTGGAAATGGATGAGCTTTAAGGCCCCTTCAACCCAAAGCATTCTATGGTTCTACGATTGTCCTAGGGGACTAAAATAATTCTACACTGAGATTCTGCAACATCCTCTACTGGGGGGAAAAAGCATTTAAGATTATGTAGAAGAAAATACAGTAGCCTAGATGTTGCATGTTATTTTCAGATATCTGGCTCCTGCCATCTGGATATATGTATTATGCACTTAAGTACTCTGCACACAGTGCCTGGAGACAGTTCTACACCATCATACACTATTTGAAACAATTCATACACTAAACAGACTCCCAAGGAGTTGGCTAGTAAGAAGTTATGTCTGAAATACAGTTCTACTTCAGAGTGTAGACTGTCTTACTCTGAGTTACACTTGTCCCTTTAATGTGAAGGAGGATATCTCCCTTGTCCTGCTGTCATGGTTTAAACATGCCTAGCTTAGATTTCAGCATTACCATACATTGTGGGAGGTATGAATTTCAGCGCTATGGCAGTTCTCTCATCTGTGGCCTAGGTTTCTTAAACTTGGAAGATACTCCGGTCAAAAAGTTGTTATGCAAAAGGTGATGTATTCTCCAATCTCTTAAAATAAATGGCGCACAACTGACTTTCCTATCAGTTTTTGTGCCACTGGGCTTAGGTCACAATTATGCTCAGATTTAGGTAGCTATCAGTACAGACTACATGAGAACTCTGGGTGCCGGAAGGAATTTTACACAACTGTGAGAAGCTTTCTTTTTAAGGCTAGATATTGCTTATTTGGTTGCAGCAGTCTCCCTTCAGTCTGCCTAAGCTGGCAATATGGATCCAGTCTTCAGCTGTCTCTTCATTATCTGCTGTGCAAGTATTACAGCAAAATTTAGACTGTATTCAGCATAAAGCATGGTAGGTTATTCAGCAGCAGATACAGCAATTTGCAAAAACTGGGAAAGACACTTTCTTCACATTGTGACACGGTTTTCATGGAATTAATTTTTTAATACTGCAGTATGTAAAGTGTGAATTCTAAGCAAAATTCTAGGAAGTGGTTGGTAAAGATGGAAAAGAGATCTGGAAATTGCACTTAAGAGGGAATACCGAATATTAACAAAGCTAAGTACTGTTTAGAGGAGCTCACTTTTACACTGAAAACTTGGGAGTTATGAATCAGTTTTGTTAACTGGAAAGCTTCCAGAATATACCTTGCATTAGAGTATTTATGAGTGGTGTGCATTTTTTTGTTTGCCCCAAATAAAATGTCAAAGTAAGGTTTTTAATATGTATTTACTAAAAAAATTAAGCTGGATTTGTGTGTTGAAAAGCCATTTTATTTCAAGATTTTCTGTAAAGGAGGTTTTGACCCTTCCTTAGGGTCAATTTCTCTTTGAAATGCAGTACGTATTTAAAACTTTCTGGAGTCATGCGTTCAGAGCATTTATGCATTCTTTGTCTAAAAATAAAAAAAAAATCCCTGCTCACATGTGTTCTTTTCTGGTTTTCTTTTAGCAAGAAAAACTGATGACCTTAAATTTGTTTTGTTCCAACTCTGAAAACTCAGTGATTGTTGAAGCACAGGTGAACAATATTTGTACTTTAGCAGAATAACAAGTTCCTCATATTATGAGAATTTTTCCTACAAAACCTGATATTGAGACACATTTTTCCTGTAGCTGTGATGATTTCAACAATACTCCTGCACCCCATCTTCTAGAAGAAGTGAATTACATGTGTTCATTTTCCATAAGCGATGACTTCTGCTTCCCTAAACAATTCCTCCTACCCGTTTCTCACATCATATGCAGCAGCTGCATTTACTCTGAGATAGCCTGTGATTAACAACTTAAAAAAGTGTTTTAAAATTGTCTTTCTCTTTGAAGACTGTTGCCCAAGGCTTTTTGTGCTTGAAGGCTTGTGTCTTTTTCCAAGCTCTGTATTTTTTTCTCTAAAAGGTATTACCTGTCCATACAATCCTTGCTTCCTTTAAAGTTTAGGAATCAATAGGCTGCAACCTGGCAATACTAATTTCTATTTCCTATTAAGCTGACATCCCTTTAAAATAAGATACTTTATGCTGAAGAGGAAGAAATTTAATTATAAAGCAGTAAGATCAATATTCAGGATGCTTGCACGTCTCCTGAGGTTTAAATAAAAATTTGAAACACCCGTCTGAGATTAGTAGAATAGCTGTCTTCAGCATATTTCCAGGAAGAATACATTTCATGACTTTCTTGAAAGGCAAATTGACCAGCCTAGCTCACAAAGGCTATACTTTGTATAATATTCACCTCTGCAGTGATTTTCATCCCAAGGGTATGCACAGTTCTGAATGCCATTGCACACTAAAGAAGTATTGATGCACATGTTGCTATGGCAGAAGTAAGTGTTGCCTGAGCAGGGAGCTGCAGGAGAGAAGAGAAAGAAAACATTAGGAATTTTCAGTAATTGATGCACTGCAATAAAATTAGTAAATTTCGTGGGGGGGGGGGGGGGGGGCAGGGTGTTTGTTGGTGTTTTTTTTTGTTTGCTTTTTTTTTTTTTTTTTTTAACATGCATACTAATTCTTTATCTCCATTTCAAACACAAGCACTTTTCTTGCACATCACTAATACTGGATGATTTACTCCCTTTATATGGTTTCTGACAAGGGCATTACCAATGCTACAAAAAAATTCTCTCTCAAAATGGGCAGCAGATAGAGACAGTCACAACACAGATAATGGAAGAAGGCTTTAATACTTGCTTTAAAATAATGCTTTAATACTTGGTTTTAAAAATACTTGGCTTTAAATACGTAAAAATTGTATGCTCAAATCAGTTTATATTTGTTCAGTCTGCTGTGCATCTGCTATGTAGATGTTGTGAAGCAGTTCCTGAACATACGCATTGTAGAGCCCATTAATATCTCAAGGCAAATCAGATTTCAGCTTCTGGAGGACTGTTTCAGTAATTGTAAGAGATTTCAGAAACTGGAGGCATCTAAGTCATTCTTGCTTGTGAATCAAAGCTCCTAGATCCTCCTATTAGATCTAATGCAGGGATTGAGAGAGTACAGTTTAGCTTTTTATCTGTCTATATATATTTAGAAATTTGAAGAAATAAATGAAGTAGAAAGTTGCCCTAAAGATTTTGTTTCTGTGAATGTTTGGTATAGCTCCTTGACATTAAAAAAAAATATGCTAAAAAATATTAGTAATTCTTTTCAGTATGTTCTGTAATATTCATAGGGAATTCTTTATGGATTCAGAGCACCGGACAAGAAAATTATTTTCTCCTTGTCTCATTAATGTGGCATTTTCTGATAGAAATGTCTATTATCAGTGGAGTCAGTTATACATTAAACAGCAAAGATGTATGGTAGATGTTCTACTCTTTGGTTTCATAGAAGGAATTTTCTCTTGAGCAGTCTGGATTCTCTGAAA